TATAAAAATTGTTCAATTAAGGTCACCCCTCCCACGAAGATTATAAAAAATTCAATTCAAGATCCTAAAAATGTTTTTAAAAGATGATGAAAAAACCACGAGTCTAATACAAATCTAATACTCTAAGTTCATAACTAAAGAAATTCAAATTCTTTTTATATTTTTAAAAATTAATTGAACATACGTTACATTATTTTTAAAATAACAAAAATATTGTTGAATGATAAATTTAGTTATAAAAAATTATTAGCATAATTTTATTTTTGTGATTTTGATTAAATTGTTAAACAAAATAAGAAAAATGATAGGAGACGTTTACCAAAATAAAAAAAAATTAAAAAGAAAATTTATTCTTTATAGGACAAAAATATTTATTGCGCATGTATTATCATACCTTGATTATTGTAAATTGATCAAATTACTAAAAAAATATAAAAAAAGATTATAAGCATATACTAAAAATATAAAAAGAATTGAATGTACGTGATTGACTTGAAAAATTGAAAACCATAAGGTAAAGTAATAGAAACATCAATATTAGCGGAAGCAAAACCTAATTATACAAATTCGCACAAAGAGTACCTTTAGTGCCCAAATCTCTTCATACTTGCATGCTATGATTAAGCATTACACTGATTCCTACTAACCGAAGTTCTTTTCTTGGTTCAACCTTCACTGAAATGAATCGATCAACAATATTCATGGTAAGGTAGAGTGTTCTTGGCATAAGGTTGAATTTTTGGTGGACTATCAATCAACCAATCCATGAGGATAAATCTCATCTTTGCATTGATATCTAGCTGCATATCCATATAATCATGTACTCGACCATCATCTTGTATAAAAAGACTTATGATGTTAGAATATGAAATATATAGAAAATTATTAAAAACGAAAGATTATTACTTTTGGGAGCTAGTAGCAATTGTAGATATCATTCACATATTCAGTGATAGCCAATTCATTACCAACATCAGCTCCATTAATGTTTTCAATGGAATCTTTATGCTTATTTGTAAGACTACAAGCAGCCTAAAGTGAAATTAATTAATCAACAAATAGTAAATTAATAACGCAAGAAAAAAAATGTAATCAATTCTTCACTTGATCTATCTATCTATCTATTATCTTGCTTCAATCAGAAAGGAGTGAAGTGAGGGTTTTAACTTCCTTAAAAATTATTCTCTTCGGCTAACATGTTTACTTTTCTCAATATTTTCATTAGAGCTTATCACAATAGTAGTCTTAGGTTTTGGTTTGTCAACCTTGTCAACAAAAAAGCAAATTACATAAAATTTTAGTATCATACCTATTTGCATATGATACATGCATCATACCTTTGAAGGAAAATTAAGTTGTAAACTAAAATTAAAAAAATAAAAGATTTAGAATCTTAAGATAGTTCTTGGATGGCAATTAAGATATATGGATAATTGTTTGAATTTAAATAAAACATAATAAATGATAAAAAAGAAATCCAATTCCTTCTAAATGCCATGTGTGTGTATATATATATATATTTGAAACTAGTTTTTTAATTTGTGCCATGCATTGGAATTTTTTTATTGTTTTTAATAATTAAAAAATTTTATAAATCTTAATTTTTTTATATTACTTCAATAAAAAATGCAAACATTTATTGATTGTATTATGTATAATTATACATTCATAAATGTTAAGGTACAACTAATAAAGCTTATACATATGGATACTTTTTCAAGGCAAAATTTTTGGAAAATTTTCAAAGAATATAAAATTTTTCTTTTCATAAAAATTAATTTTTTCAATTCATAAAACAAATGAAAATTTTACTACTCGTTTTCTTATTCGGTCAAAAAAGCAAAGTTTAATTTTAAATAATCAGATTTTTATTATTGGTTTTTTTTTTTTTTAGTGTTAGATATGTTGTTATCTACGCTTTTGGATTCCTCACATGATGTTGGTACAATTTCTTTAAAGTTTATATTCTTTCTATGTTTCATTGTACTTTTAATTATGGTTAGATATTTATAACCATTTCACTATATTTAATAAAATTTTACTTTGGCTTATTAAAAAAAAGTCAAAATTAATAATTGTTTATATATTGATATGAATATATAAAAAACATATCATTAGATTAAATTGTAAAAGTAATTTATATTAGCAAAATATTCTAAATATTAAATCTTATAAAGCTAAACCAAAAATAAAACATCAAATAATAATAATAATAAAATGATTAAACTACCAAACATAATTATTAATTTGCTCATAACCATTTACATTTTATTAGTTCTTATTTTTACATATATACTTTAACATACATAGTTGTTTTTTTATTAGAACATAAACCAAATATACAAATTGAGAATTATATATAATTTAGATCTCTTGTAATTATGCATAACAAATATCTAGTTTAACTCTCTCTCTCTCTCTCTCTATATATATATATATATATAAACATATGAACCAATTTATTTTAGAATAAATAAAATCTAGATGCACATATCATATAATGCAAATAAAACCTAATAAGTTTGAAGAAACAAACAAATAGAGGAAAATAATAAAAAAGAAAATATAATATAAAAAAAGTAATGAACTATACCTATTACCTAGTTGAAACCCAGCCAAATATGCACTCATTTTCCTTTCATTATTGAAATATAAAAAAACAAAAACAAAAATCAATATTATAAAAAGAAAAACAATCCAACACCATCATAAACTTATTGTTAAAACTAAAAAAATAAAAATAAAAGAATAATAAAGGCATAAAATGACTTTACCTATTCATAAGTATGATGTGGTTATTATTTTTTCTAGCTTTTGTCCATTTTTGTCAAAATCCATAAATCATAATCATCAAATAAAAAAATGATTATATTCTTCAATTTCTAATTCTAATAATAATAAATAAAATAACATTGGTTAAAAGGTGATACACTCACTTTATGAGTTTTTTATTTATTTTTATTTTGGGATTTTGATTTTAGCAAATAAAAATTTATTAAGCACACACACACAAGCACACATACACACACATATGCACCTAGAGTTATGACTAACTTTAAAAAGAAAAAGATAAATTATAATTTAATATATTTAAATTCAAAATTTATGTAAAATTTCTAATTTTTGATAAAGTTTGATTTGAATTTAAATAATTACTCAAAAATATTAAATTTATTTAATTTATTAAATAAAATTATTTGACAATAGATAAAAGTTTGATAAGCCTATATATATTTGGAATTATGATTAAATTAAAAAAAGTAATTTATAATTTAATATATTTAAATTTAAAATTTATATAAAATTTGTAATATTTTATAGATTTTGATTTGACCAAATATACAAATTGAGAACGTATATATAATTTAAATTTCTTATACTTATGCATAGTAAATATCCATTTATATATATATATATATATAAACATATGAACCAATTTTTTTTTTAAATAAATCAAATCAAAATGTATATATCATATAATGTAAATAAAACCAAATAAAATGTTGGATGAAACAACCAAATAGAGGAAAAAAATAGAATATGAAAAAAATAATGAACTATACCTATTACCTACTTGAAACCAATCTAAATATTTACTTATTTTCCTTTCATTATTGAAATCTTAAATAAATAAATAAATATTATAAAAACAAAGAAAAAACAATCCAACACCATCGCAAACTTATTTTTAAAACTAAAAAAATAATAATAAAAGAAATAAAAGAATAATAAAGACATGAAATGAATTTACTTGTTCATGAGTATGAAGTGATTATTATTCTTTCTAATTTTTACCCATTCCTGTTAAACTCATAAACCATAATCGTTAAATAGAAAAAAGATTGTATTGATCAATTTCTTATTCTAATAATAACAAATAAAATAATATTGGTTATCGGGTGATGCTCTCATTTTATGAGCTCTTTATTTTTATTTTGAGATTTTGATTTTAGTAAATAAAAATTGTATTAAGCTTACACATACACATATAATATATATAATAGTTACCCAAAAATATTTAATTTATATAATTTATTAAATAAAATTATTTAACAACAAATAAAAGTTTGTTAAGCCTATATATATTTGGAATTATGATTAAATTACAAAAGAAAGATAATTTATAATTTAATATATTTGAATTTAAAATTTATGTAAAATTTTCAACATTTTATAGATTTTGATTTGAATTTAAATAATTATCCAAATATATTAAATTTACATAATTATCCAAACATTTTAAATTTAAATAATTTATTAAATAGAGTTACTTAATAAATAATATAATATAAATATTATCTTATGTCTCATAAAGAGAGACTATCCATGTAGGCATCCATGTCAGCATATTTTATCCGATAATTTTGTATCCTGTAATATATATGTATATTAGATTAGATTAGACATGGACTTAGTAGTTTTAATTGAAAATGGATATAAAATGCTCTAATTGTTCTTAATATTAAGGAATTTAATATGAAAAAGCTATTTAAATTTTAAATGTTATATATATATATTTTAAAAAGAGTAAATTTTGAGATAAATTTTATCTTATTTAAATTAAGATATTAGATAAAACAATTGAAAGATTTAAATAATCCTAACTTTTAAAATTTCAAATATTTTTAAAATTAAATAATTAATTGAATAGGATTATTTAGTAAAGAATTAAAATTAAATTATTATCCTATGTGTAAAAATCATAAACTATCCACATAAATGTCTATGTGGAGTAACTTATCATATAACTTTATATGTTATAATATAATATATATATATATTAGATGACATCTTCAATTGTTATTTAATTACACAAAACAATCTTATGCAAAAAATTTATGAAAATTTTCATCTAAAATCTTTTTATATATATCATATTAATTCTTATTTTTTAATTCATAAGAACTAACATTTCCCAAATTTATCTTTTAATAAAATTAAACAATAAATTAAAAAAAAGAAACGTATGCATGACAGGCAGACTCCCACAAAACCTCGAAGGCTCAAAATAACCACACTAGGTATAGCCACACTGCCCAGTGCGCACACGCCACACAACCCTCCAGCCTCTACTCTTCCCAATTTAGCCAGACTACTCTACACAAAATTCACTCACTCTTCACAAACTCTTCCGCTTTTCTCAGTCACTCTCTGGCTTCTCGACTCTGTCATAAATGTTGCTCGTCTCTCTCTCACAAAGACCTAATTCCATATAACCCTAAATCGGTAAATCCCCTCCGCTAATCGACACACTCACAAACCTCTGGCCCTCCGCCTCCTTCCTCCACACCGATTACGACACAGTCAGGCCACAAACTCCCCCAGTCCCTAGTGACAGATTCAGAGGATTTTTTTCCAATCCCATTCAACAGCGATTAGCTGCAATTTTCAACAAAAAAAGGGGTAATTTTAACTTGCTCTTACCTTCAAACTACTTATTCTTCCGCACTTGATCTTGATTGGGTTTGATTGGGGATGAAGTTGGGTGAATTGAGTTGATTCAAGATCTGGGCTTGCCAGTTCTGTTTTATGTTTTTTGGTTTCTCTTTCTCACGTTCTCGGCTTCGGCTAAGAATTGAATTATTGGTTTTTGTTTTTTTATGTGATTTCTGTTTGGTTGGCATGTGATTGAACGATTGTTTTTGTTTTTAGCGGATTGATTTTTTTTTTCGTTTTAAAATTCAGAACCGGAAAACGGGGAAGGTGGCAATATTAGACTGTTATTTCCTCTATCCCCGTCATGCCATTTTTCAGCGGCCGTTACGTACAGTTTTAAACTTGTGTCAAATTCACTTCCGTTTTTCCTCGATAACGGTGGCCGACTGTGGCCCAACCGCGGAATAGCGGCAGCTACGCTGCTACTCCACCGTTATTTAATTCCATTCAGTTATGTCATTGCAACACTCTTCCCTAGAGCTTCGAGTCCACTCATAGTCGGAAAATTTTAGGTAGTTTAGTCATTCGGACACGGCGCGTATGTAGACAATCTATTTGTTAAATTGTCTACAAGAAAGCTTCTCCCAAATTTATCCTTCATTTATAGAATACAATTATCTGGACAAAGATTTTCTGTTTTGGTGATCTGATATTTTGGTAAAGGAACTGTTGGAATGTGATAAAATATTTTCCTTGATGCTATCTCATCGCTTCTACTTGAACAGACAAATTTTGAGAGGGACTATAGGCTGCCTGCTCCTACTAAAAATGATAAATACATTGGTTCTGCCTAGGCCTAGCAAAGTATGTATGATCTTCATTATTATCAACTTCCACTTTTTTCTTTTTCATTAAGAGCGGATGCTTTTGCAATCTGATATTACTGGTTATAACCATTTTAGTTTTAAAAGGAAAGGAGCTTTATTTATCTAAATCAGATTCTCTTGTAAACTATGTTTGCTTCTTTAAACAGGTATACCAGTGCTGGTTGAAAAAAAGAAAAAGCACTGCTCATTGCTGCTACTTGGTACATAATAGTGATATTGTGATTGATATCTCTTATTCTAAGTTTTTTCCTCAATATAATGCAACAATATGATATAATTCAGTCCTAGTTTTATATAACAGAAGAATCATTTTGATGAAGTTTCTTATCAATTAATAATAAGATATTATATCCATTGATAATGGGTTCTTCATTCACTGTTCTTTGATGTTTGACCATTACTCAGTTTGGTGGTTTTGCTTTGCCTTAATACCTGGAACTTGTTTCTTTTGTTTTAGGCATTGAAGTTCTCCTCTACAAAAGTTGACAGATCAACGAAATCAAAGTACAGGGGTCCAAAGATGGAGCTAACCCTAACTCAACCTGATGATTGGCATCTTCACCTTCGTGATGGTGACCTTCTTCAAGCTGTGGCCCCTCACAGGTAGGGATGTCAATGGATAGGATAGAGCATTTCCTATTCCCATCTCCGAATTTTTATATTATACCCATTCCTGTACCCATATGCAATGGATATTTTAAATTTATCTCCATCCCCATCCTCATGAGTATTTAATGGGTATGGGTAATCCTTATACCCATAACTTAAAAAAGAAAATAAAAACTAAAATTTATTTTTTTTAATTTTTTAATTTTTATCTTGTATATATAGGTAATTTTTTTATAAATATATATTAATATATATATTTTTAATAAAATATATTAATTCTAATTAATCTAAAATAATAATTTATATTATTTAATAAAAAAATTATTTACTAAATATATATATATATATATAAATATTTATAAGGTATGGGTACGGGACGGGTACATATCCAATCAAAATTTAAAATCATACTCATTCTCATCCCGGTACCCATAATATAATATCTATCCCCATCTCCATTCCAATAAAAAATCGGGTTCCCCATTGGATATGGGGTAAGATTGACATCCCTACTTACAAGTTCTTTTACTCTAACAACATTATATCATAGTTGACTTTAGGAGTTTTCAAAATTTTCCTATAACCAAGTTGACTAAAATCACTGTTGCAAGTCAGTTAAACCAGTGTTTTGGTTAATGTCTTAAATAATTAAAGTTTCATTGAGTTTTTCGGTCACTTATGGTTTCGAAATTTATATACTGGGTAAACCAATTTGAAATTTAAAATTTATTATTTGAAAACTATTTATCAGATACTGATTGAAACTATCCCCATATTATATTTTCACTTTGTCCACAGATCCTAACCTCATGGCTCTGTTTAAGTCTCAGCTCTTGCTGCTCCTTTGCTATAGTCCGTCCATATAGTAACATTTACTGCTTTCTTGACATCAGTGCCAACTTGTGGGCATGCTTGTACTTAGTTTTTCTTCTGCCTTTCTTATTGAGCTTAGAGTCTTGCATTTTCTTAAGATTGAGAATTTAAACCCTTTTTTTTCAATTCTTATTTCGTCTCTTTTCTTTTGCAATCTATGATCATAAATGCTTTATTTAGTTGAATTTTTTCATTTCTATGTAAGGCGTTTATATGAATTCCTTTTGCAATTAGAACAAATACATTGTTTTGAACTTTTCTTCTTTCCCGCTTTAAATGTTACTGATTTTTGGCCAACAAAAAAAAAAAACAATTGTACTACCTTCTTTTCAGTTCTATGATGTGTTGATCCTTATAAAAATTTCCTTACACAATTTATTATATACTATTGATTGATTTTTTTAAGTGTCTAATTATCTATTCCATTGAAATTATCATACTTTTCCCCATTTTCTTCTATTTCAGTGGATTTATAATTCATTTTTTAGATGTGTGCATGTTTTTGTTTGTGCAAAATCTCCAAGTCCCCCTTATGCAATGAGAATGTTTAATCCGCTTGCTGCCTTGTATTTTTTTATTAATCTTAATTGAGCATCAATGTTTCTAGCCATTTTTTATTCTTAAACAGAGAAGAAAAAGATTAATCATTTCTTGCTTTGATCTAAGTTCAGTCTAAGGAAACTCTTACAATCTATATATATCAGTTCCAGGTTTAAGATTCTACTTATTAATATTTTGGTTTCTGAACGTAGTGACTGAATTAATTGACACATTTGAGTTTCTCAGTTAAGTGGTTATCTTAATCACTTGGTCTGTTTTGGTTTAAAAAATTACATGTTGGATTAATTCGGTTTTAACAAATCTTTGACCTAATTAACCAAACTGATCATTTCCTCACATCTAGTTAACTTGAATTACATCTTCAATTTAGGAGGAAATTATCTGTTTATACATTTATGATTGTGGTTTTCATTTTTATGTTTAATTAGTATTATACCTGTAGTGCAAATCATTTTGGAAGGGCAGTAGTGATGCCAAATTTGAAGCCTCCCATTACGACCACTGCTGCAGCTATTGCTTATCGAGAATCCATCTTGAAAGCAGTGTCTGCTGGTAGCAACTTCACTCCACTAATGACACTATATTTAACAGATACTACCAGTCCTGATGAGATCAAGCTTGCTAGTAAGTCAAGCTTATATTCAATATGGTAACTAGGACTCTTATTTGTTTCACATGCAGAAAACCATTACCTAGTTCCTTTCTTTCTTTGCTGTTGGAGGCTTTTGCAGTTTTGGCCCTTTTAAATATAGTTATTCATTTAGAATAATAGAGCAACTAACTTGAAAAGGTGACTCCTCTTATTCGTAATTTGGCACTTTTTGTTCTCGCTTGATGTATTGACAGGAAGAGGTGGAGTTGTTTTTGCTGTTAAGTTGTACCCTGCTGGCGCAACCACAAATTCTCAAGATGGTGTTACTGATCTGTTTGGGAAATGCCTACCAGTTCTTGAAGAGATGGTTGAGCAAAACATGCCATTACTGGTAATTTGAACTGTATTAAGGTCACTATAATTGTTGGTTAACTACAAGGCTCTTGTACATTGGGAAAGATCATGAGTTAGCATGCAGTAGAAACTAGAATGTTTGAACAAGCAACATTATACCAATGCATATGATGGAACTTGGTAATATAGTACCTTAACATTTTATACAACAGTGTTCATCTATCTCTAAAATGACAAATGACTTTTATAAACAGGCAGCTTCCTTCTTTCTTGCTTATATGTTGAAGTTTTTAAAGCTGCTTTCCCAAATATGTGATCTCTGAGATACAATTAGAAAAACAAAACCAGCCTAAATCACCTTTTCAACACATCAAAACATTGTGTTATGCTTTAGTTTTGTTGCTTACAGCTTACTCAAATAATGAATTCTTTTTTGGGTAAGAGAGTGTGTGAAATCTTATCTTATTTATAGGTTCATGGAGAGGTCACAGATTCTAATGTTGATGTCTTTGATCGTGAGAAAGTGTTCATTAACACTGTTTTGCAACCTTTAATTCAAAGGCTTCCAAGATTAAAAGTCGTGATGGAGCATATCACCACTATGGATGCTGTTAGATTTGTTGAGTCTGGTAAAGAAGGTAAACTTAATTTCTTTTAAGGAAGAAAATTTACAATTTGCTTGTTTTAGCTGTAGAAATCATCCATGTCTTTTTATTTTCTTCCTTGTTTTCTCATTTAGCTCATAAGTTTTTTGTTTTCACCTTAAGGATTTTTGGCTGCAACTGTTACACCACAACATCTTCTTCTCAATAGAAATGCTCTCTTCCAAGGAGGATTGCAGCCACATAATTATTGCCTTCCAGTACTCAAAAGAGAAATCCATAGTATGTTCCATTCAACATTTGCCATAGTGCTGCAAATATGCATTGATATCTATAAATGGATTGTTGAACTTCTTCTTTTATGCATTAGAATTAGTTTTTACCAATTCTTGCGTTAGTGCTAAACATAATGTAATTATAATATAGGAGTATTTTTTGTTGCTTATGGTTTTAAAATTCATCAGTATTTCTTATAATAATTGTGTCTTAACAGACCTTTATGCGTTCTTCTCTTACCTAGGACAGGCAATTGTTTCAGCTGTGACCAGTGGAAGCAAAAGATTTTTCCTTGGAACTGATAGTGCTCCCCATGAGAGACAAAGAAAAGAATGTCCTTGTGGTTGTGCAGGCATTTACAATGCCCCTGTTGCATTATCACTCTATGCCAAGGTCTTTGAAGAGGTAATTTTCGTCATTATTTAATTATAAGTTTCTTCCTACCTTTTTCATAAACCCTGCAGCAGATTTAGAATCATAGATAAGCCAGCATTAATGGGATTAAGGGGAGGTTGGTTAGGGATTGTGAATGTTTAGATTTACTGCTCCAACAAGGTATATGTATATTTTTCACTGGTTGATAAACTTGTGAAAGTTAACGTGTCTCTCCTATGGGATTATGAAAATAGTTCAGCATGGATTGGCAAAAATTTGTGCTTAAAACATGTTAGGGATATATTATGCTTCTCATCATTGAAATAGTAGATGGCTATTTTTTAGATAATTCTATGTAGGTATGAATTAAACTTCAAAACAACTGACTTGATGGGGATTTGTAGGAAATAAAGCTTGTTGATCTTGCACATTGTACCTAGTTGTAAATGGAGCTTGTCACCTACAATTATTGCACTATAATTTTCTAATCACAATAATGAATTGCTTAGAGTCCAACAAAATATTATATGGAGCCCACACATATAGCGATGGACCTTTTTTTTCTTTTTGTTTTGGATAATTGAATTTTGTTTATTCATACAAAGAAGGGCAATTCCTTGCTAGAAAGAAGTACAAAATGGTAAAATCCCAACAAATTCAATTACAATTGAAGGTCAAATAATAAAATGAAATCCCTAGTTTATAGCTTTTAACTAACTGATTACAATTAACTAACAGAAGAAAAGCTGCTAATGCCCCAGCTTCTACATGGGTCAACATTTAATGAAGATGTGGGTGTATGAGACAAAGAACCTAGTGTAGCTGGGATATAACCAACTAATTGATTAAACAACTCTTCAGGAGAATGTTGGAGTGTTTTCCGTTTTCATTTCCCTCCAGATATAATAGATATATCCTGTCCAAGCTAGTCTTAACAAGATTGAATGAAAAGACTTCCCATGTTGTGGCCTGAGCGAATTCTGCATACCAGTCACCAGAAACTATTTGAATAAAAGATGTTTGCAGAACACTACTCCAAACACCCTTTGAGTAGCTGCAAGTAAAAAATAGATGATCTCTACTCTCCTCAACATCTGCATAAACAGCTAGAAGTAGAAAATAAGTAAATGCCCTAAAATTTTCATCTGGACAAAGTATTGAATCTATCTCAAACTGCTAACCGAGTGATAAAAGAGAACTTGGGAACATGGTCTTGGAACCAGACCAATCAATGCGAGAGAAGGTGAGGTTTGCTGGTTCATAAAAAACTTAAGGTAGCAGCCGTATTAAAATTTTGCCCAAGAAAGAAGCCTGCCAGATAATCTTATATTGAATATTCTGGATAAATAATTCCAAATAGCCCTATTTGAACCTCCAACATAGCATTTGATCTTGCAGGGTTTCAAAACCAATCATCTCCTCTAATAACAGCACCGACTTTTGCTTCCTCACTAAGAGCTGAAGCCTGCAACAGTTTCCTCCCTTATTTATCTATTCATGGACATGGGGATGCCAATTGTCATACCAAAGAAAAGATTTTTCTCCATCTCTAATGATATGGTGAATCAAAATTTCTGGCAAAAGGTCTTATCTTAAACATTTTTCTTCAACTCCAGCTGCATAGGCTGGGAGTTTTAACCTGTCAAAAACATTGAGGTTTTAATGGATAAGTTTTAATCCAAGCCATTCCTGTAGTGGTGGACCTTCATATAATACTTTGTTGTGATTGGATAATTGTAAGATTCTATTTAAAGTAATTGTAGGTGAAGTGCTCTCATTTGTACAGCTCCAGTTGATCCACTTCATCTACCTGGAGAGGATCAGGTTTTAGCCATAAGATTTGATAAATAACAAAGACTAAAAGATATATGCGGAGAACCCCTTTCTCCCCTCGGACGTGTTAGGAGACCCCGACGCTTTAAATATAGTTGCTTATATTTCTCAAAATAATAGGTTATAATAGCTCCTACATCCTCATCGATATAGTCCGATCCTATCCTTTATATCATATTTTGAAATCAATTAGAGAGGATGTCATCTGTTGACAATACAGTTGTTTTCAGTTGCAATTATTACTTGTCTATGTTAATCTAATACTAGACTTTTCTTCTAGACAATTGAATACATAGATAGGTAACATTTTAATTTCAATTTATCTAAGTCACTTTTGTGTTATTGTAGGCGGGTGCACTTAATAAATTAGAAGCATTTACAAGCTTCAACGGACCGGACTTCTATGGTCTCCCAAGGAACAACTCAAAGATTAAATTGATGAAGACTACATGGAAGGTGCCAGAGTCTTTCTCATTTTCTTTTGGTGATATCATTCCAATGTTGGCAGGTGAAACTCTTCAATGGCAACCAGGCTTCTCTTGATTCAATCTTGACTCTTTTTTTTTTTCTTTTTATTTCTTTGGATAAAACATTTGAGTACCATTCTGAAATATGATTTATCTAGTTGATCACACGCAGTGGGAAAAGTCTGTGTTATTGGATAAAAGTTAAAAGAGTAGAGCACTAAAGCTAAGACTTAGAATCTCTACTCTTAATCTCATCTTAGCTCATCATTTGAGAGCCCAGGTACTTCATCCTTCGGATAGAATTTTTGTGGTATTCTTTTTCTAGGTTTTAATTGGGAACTGGAAGTTAATTTTTGCCAAAAACCTCGTTTCGTAAAATTAATGGCTTTCAAATGGTAAACCCATTCTCATATGCACATCAGCTACAAATTCTCTTTTATCCTGTACCCCTTTTTGGTATCTCTCACTTCTGTTGCCTGTGCTTCAATTTCAGCTATTCAACCCTAGAATTAGTCCTGGAGGAAAGAATGGTTTTGTATCGATTGAGGAATTTTGTCAAGCACCTGATGCAAGCCACGAATCAACAATGTTTTCTTTGTTAATGTACAAAATATCGACAGAAATATTACAATTTTACATTCTTAAAAAAAAAAAAAAAAAATATCACCACTTTACAAGTCACTCAACTAATTATACCGATTAAATTAGAAAATCATGCGTAACTTAGCTTCATTCCAAACAGAGGAGTTTCGCTCCGAAATCCATCGCCTTTCCTCTCGATGAAAATGGTCTTCTTGATCATGAAACAAAAGTGCCTGGATTATGTCTGCTCTGCTTCCTCTTCGGCTTAATCCTTTTTTACATTCTTATTTTTCCTTTTTATAAGAATTACATTGTTATTTTCAAACTAAAATTAAATATTTTATTTTTTATTTATTCAATCAAAATAAGCTTCTCTATTTCACTTTTTATTTAAATTTTAATTCAACTTTAAATAGAAATGAGGGGCGAGAATCACTTGACTATCACCTAAGGCAGGTCATCTTATTTATAAAGGGTGATTCTAAAAACACCCTCTTTTTTCTCTTTACATCCATATTGTTTTTTTAATTTTTTTAGGTGAAATTACTTATTTATTCTTTTCATTTTAATTTTAAAGTTTTCAAATATAAATTTTTGGTACATTACATAACTTATTGAATTTTCATATTTGATAAGTTAAAAAAAAATACATTTAGGTTTGGAAAAAACTTAATTGAAAGAAAATATCTTAAAAAAGTTTTAAGCTTTTGGATATGTAAATTTAAAAATTTTTAAAAGGTTACATATATGCAATTCTAAAAACTTTTAAGAGCTCGTGGAAAAGGTTTTGGAAGAGATGAGAGAAAAAATGGGGGTGTATTTAGAAGAAGTAATTTAGGGTATGCCCTCTTTGTTTATGCTTTTTTTTTTTACCTTTTATTTTTTAATATTTAATAAATTTCTTTTAAAACTATAAAAATATATTTTTAAAAATTTTACTTTTTATGCTTGAGATTTATTTATACTAAACTTTTCTTTCATGTGTTTCTTTTTTGCCCTTATTTATTTTTTAATTTTTAAAAAAATTTAAGAAATATGCTTTAGATTATTTTTTAAGTCCCTTTTAATTTCATAATTTTTAAGGACAAAGAAACGCATGTCAATTCTGTATTTGATGTTTTTCTTTTTTTGGTATTTTCTTTTTAGTTTTTTAGATTTTTAAAATTCATGATATATATTTTTTATAAAAAAAACCTTATCATTGTCGATGTCGTGTGGCAACTTGAGTTTTTTTCTTTTTTATTTTTTCGCTTTTCATTTTCTTCCCTTTTTTCCTATTTTTTTTTGTTTTTTAAATTAGATAGCTTTATGAAGGAAAAAAAAGGTAAACGAATGTGTACATGTGGCATTCTATTTCATATTTTTCTTTACACCTTTTTTTTTTTTTAAATTTCAATTAGATAGTTCTTGCACCAAAAGAAATTGGTACATAAATTTTTGAAAAATAATATTAATGAAGGTATATATGCCAAAGTAACTTGTATATGATGGGTTTCAATTCTTTCGAATCCAATAGATTTTTTTTTTTTTGAGATAGAATCGAATTTTTTTCCTAAAAAATCGAGGCCAAGTCATATATAAGTTTAGGGTATTTTGTCCAGCTTGAGTGTATATAAATATATATTTTATTATTTATTTAATTTTATTTTTATATATGTATTATATTAATAAAATTATTAGTTGATATCTCAATTTAATAAATCTATGTGTCATTCTCATTTGACTTCTTTTTCTCTTTTTCTTTTGTAAATTTTATTTAAATATTAATTTTTTTTAAATTAGATAAATTTTGTAAGAAAAAATCAATAGATGTATGGATGATAAAATAACTCATCCAATGGATTTATATTTTATCCGATCTAATATGAGTCGATTTTTAAAATTTTGAGATTAGGTCAACATATTTTATTTTTAAAAATAGGGATCAAGCCAGAGATAGGTTTAGGGTTTTTTGTCTTACCCTGAGTATATATATATATATATATATATATATTATATTTGTAATTTTTTATTCAATATTTATATTTATATTATTATATTAATATCTTAATTTAATAAAAGTATTTTATTTGGATATAGTTAAAATGTAATACATCCATCTATTGTATAAATTTTGCTCACTTTGGCTTTTACTTAGACTTTCATTTAAAGTGTCGACCGGACACTTTATTTTTGCCAACTCCTTTTTTTTTCTTTAATTTTTAAAAATTTATGTAAATTTATTAAAAAATCCAATGAAGTTGTCCACGAGGCATTCCGATTTGATTTTTTTGTCTTTTTTTTTAATTACGTAAATTTTGTAATGAAAGAAGTTGATGAATAGGGATGATAAAATAATTAATATCTAAAGGATTTTAATTCAATTAGATATGATAGGAGACACTTTTTTTCTCTCTTTTTTATTTTTTTCTTTTTAATTTATCTTTTATTAGATAAATTCTATAAAAAAAATGTCAATAAAGGTTTCCACGTAGCATCCTCATTTTTTTTTAAATTTTCTTTCATATTCTTTTCTTGTTTTTGTTTTTTGTTTTGTTTTTTTTTTAAATTAAATAAATTTTGCAACAAAATAAGTGGTTGATAATGATGAAAAAAATTCAATATTTAATAGCTTGCTTATCCATCTTAATTCAATATAGACATTTTTGTGAAAAATTGGTATTGACTCAAATCGGGTTGGATTTTTTATATAAAACCTATTGTGTTAAAAGTGGATTTTGGGAGCTTTGCCCCAAGCCACCATGATATATATAAAAGTATATATTTTATTATTTATTTAATTTTATATTTATATATATTATATTAATAAAATTATTATTTTATATCTTAATTTAACATATTAATATTTTAAATTCAATTTTAATGTCAACATGACACCTTAATTATCTCTCTTTTTCTTTTTTTTTGTTGTTTTTTCTTTTTTTTTTAATTAATCAAGTTATTATTTAATATTTTAATTTGAAAAATAATATTTTATACTCAATTGGAATGTTCACACGATACCCCTAATGAACTCATTTTTTCTTTTAATTTTTTTTTTGTTTTCTATGCTTTTTCTGTTAAATTAAATTTGTTAAAAAAATTAGACCAATGGAGATATCTACATAGCACTTCCATATGGTTTTTTTCTCTTTTGTTTTTTTTTTTTGTTTTGGTATTTTTAATTAGAAAATTGTGCAACAAAAAGGTGTCGATTGATGGAAATGCCAAAACAATTCATATCCAATGATTTTTGATTCATCCCAATTTGATAAGGGATATTTTTTTAAATTGAAATCGAGTTGGGATAGATTGAGTTTTTTTATAAGTTACGAGATTGAGATGGAAATATATGTAAAATACTTTGTCTTGATTCATTTGGGTGTATATATAAAAATATATTTTATTTTTAATTTAATTTTATATTTATATATATGCATTTTATTAATAAAATTATTATTTATACTATAATTTAAGAAATTAGTATTTCTAACTCAATAAGCTTTCCATATGACATCTTCTATGAGCTTATATTTTTTCTTTTTTTACTTTTTTACTTTTTTATGATTTTTTGTTTTATGATTTTTATTTTTTAGATATAATTTTTGCTATTAGAAAGTCAATTTAAATATTCATGAGTTACCATAATTTTTTTTTTACTTTTTATCTTTTTGTCATTTTTAATTGGATAAATTTTGCAAAAAAAAGTCAATGAATAAAAATAAAAAATAAAAAAATTTTAACCCGTGATAATGCACAAATATTCACTAGTATTTTAAAAAGTTGCTTTAATGAAAACTTAATTGTAGAAATTTTTTGTCACATTAAAATGATGTGGGATGTCAAATTTTCAAACAAATGTCTTTAGGCTTGGCGTAATTTAACCTATATTAATGCAAAAAATCTTTTACCTTTTACAAAAAGTTTAAAAATTTGTTTTAGAATTTAAAACTATTAATTGTTATTTATTTAAAATAAAATATTATTTTTTAGATTAAAATATGTTACATGAGATCAGAAAATTAATGCATCTCATCATATAATATAATTACCAAAATGTTTAAAATGTTAGGTGGTCCAAATTAAAAATAAAGTTTTAATATAGTTATCAATGTGTCGAAGTTATTTCAATCACATTAGATGGATCAAATATGCCAATTAATTTTGGACATTAATAAAGTTTTAAGGTGTGACCATTGTAACCTTCATCTTTTGAAGCAAAATAAGTAGAGTAGAACTGAATCAAATGGCATCAATTTGTAAATGGATAAGATGTTTTTAGTTTAAGAAGGATGGTTGAACTTGTAAGTCATGATTTTGAAGCTGCCAACGGATTGTTTAAAATAGCAAAACTAAAAAAATGAAAATACAAACATGTTATTCAAAACAATTGAGTTAAATTGAATTTAAGAACAAAGAATAAAGAAAGTTTATTGATTTGAGACTCGTTAAGATGAACTACTGTGTTGAGTGAGTGTGTGTGTGTGTGTTAAGCTGCTCATAGTTTTCTCCACTTCTAGGGCTTTTCTAACTATGGCTTTCATGATTTTTGCAGTATCTTTCACTGCCTGAAGCTATTTGCACAATATTTGGCTTTTGATATTTTACAATATGTTAGGAATTTAATCACCAGTTGCATCTTCGTTTCACCATTAGCTAGATTGATCCCTTGGATTGAATCCCCATTTAATCTTTTTAGCATATTTGTTAATAGTTTTCATGAAATCTTCTACATGTCATCTATTAATTGGTCTAAAGATCTTTAACTTGGCCTAGAATATATGCTTGTGCCGAGCTCCAATCTAAGAGTATTTCTGGAAGGACAAAAAAAGAAAGAGAGCGGTTAGATGCAAAGGTAGGGAGTGTTCCATGTGTTTGCACTCTGATATGCAAGTTAAAGACCAAAATTGGAGAGATCAGAAGAGAGGAATGTAAAGGGTTTAGGATAAGATGGAACTTGCAATGATAATATCTGGATGTTCGTATTTATAGGTGAAAGGTAGGGACTAATGGAGGACAAGAATGATGTATTTGAGCTAATGTGGCACTGAACATGTCAGGTCGACTCCAATGTCTGAAATGCCTCTGGTTGTCTATTAA